TACTTACAAAGAAAATTTTTAGTCTTATATCTTAGCATATATATCAATTTTTTTTTGGTGACAGAAGCATATATATGAATTTAACTAATTTAACTAATCACTACATAGTCATTGAACTTTTTATAATATATGCAGAAATAATAATTCAAACCCGTGCATTGCACGGGTGCTGTACTAGTTAGATTTGTAAGAGACAAATATAAACTCGATCTACTAAAATATATAATATAACAAGAGATGAAACTGTAACCCAGTTAGTAGAAGTTTTATTTTGGTTGTATCCAAAGGCTCCGATTTTGAATTTATCCTCTATTAACCCTTCCAGTACAGAATAAAAGTACATATCTTAAACTTTTGTTTACCTATCTCTCAAATTCTTTTTTATCTAAACTACAAAAAGAACTAGAGTGGCATACTTTTATTATAATAAATGCTTGAATATTACAGTTTGACTATGGATAGCAGTTAAAGAAGACGAAGGAACACGACTATTGCTCAGCATCATATATATGTTGTAAACACTTTCTGGAGAGTATAGATTTTGAGGAATTTAAACATAATAAGGATATGAAAAACTATTTGGAAGAGTTCTTCACTACCTATCTATAGAAGGCATTAAGGGAGGAGAAAATGAGAAGGAGCAAAGATCACATGTTAAACTTATTGTGAGTGCTTCATCAATTATAACTAAGCTCTGATACTAGGTAAAGTGAGTCAAAATAAATTAGATTTGTGAGAAACGAATACAAACTCTTTTAAAGCAGTACAACAATCTTTCTTTGATGAGACAGTTAACCTTAAAGTTTAGGATTAATGAGAGGTAAAGACCTTAGTTAACTTCCCTCATTTGGGTAAGATTCTCTTATTCCACACCCATAACATGTCAATCAAAAGCGCTTTATGCAGACTCATAACTGACTCAGATAGGGTTACTCTCTAACACCATCTAAACCAGTGATGGATATGATAAGGACTATTATTAGTTGTTATTTTGAGTCTTTGAGATCATTTCTCTATTATTATTTTTGCAATTTTTTCTATTGTATTTAGTTTGTTGATTCCTTAAATTGGCATTTATAAATTTTTTTAGTGAGTTGTGTGTTTTTAGAAGGGCTTGAGATGCGTGAACGTTTCAAAACATATGATTGATGATCGATGTGTCAAAAAAATTAATTTTTTAAATATTTATCTTATAAATAATTGTAAATTATTACATCTTCCCACACTTGTGATAATACACAAGTTAGTGTCCAGAAAGTATATATAGATCAACAGCATTATAATATATTTGTTTTTTTAAAGATAAATACAATTTAATGGAATCAAGTATTGCTTCAATAATTTGGTATATTTCTCTTTATACTATGGGATGTCCTTTTTAAAGTCAACGTCAATCTCCATATAGCGTTTGATTAAAAAATTAATGTAAAATATGATAATCAATAAATTTGAATATCAATTAAACATAATTTACAAGTTATAAATAATTGAGTAAAATACATTGATCACCTATCTATTTTATTTTAATCACAAAAAACCTACGTATGTTACACAAACTTCCTTCCTATTTTTAAGATCTCATTTCCATCCGTTTAAACTGTTAGTTAACTATTAAGTTTGATTTTAAATTATTTTTTGACTAAAATGCCCCTTTTAAATTAATAATTATTTAGACATTTATATTTTCCAAAAAATATTCTTTATAAATCAAAATATAATTCCAACACATATATTTTTAAAATTCCTGATATGTTATAAAATTTGTTAGTTTTGATCCAAATCATAAAATTTCATAATTTTAATATTTTATCATATTTATTGAAAATTATTTACTTTGATATCTTTTATATTGCAAAAACATATTTCAAATATATAGTTTTTGTTTATCTTAAAGTTTAAACGATATGAGTTTAAAAGATTTTATAAATTATTCAAATTTATAATTCAAAAATTTTAAACACAGTTTTATTACAAAAATTTATAAACATATTTAGTCAAGTATATATATTTATTAAAAATTAGTTAAATTTTTAATCAAGTCTTTTATATTTAGCTTAACTAAATAAAATTCCTGTAACTGTAAAAATATAATTTAAAAATTTATTAGAATTAGAGGTAAAATAGTAAATAAAATTTATTTCAATATAAATTTCAATTAAAAATAATATTTTAAAAATATTTTTAGAATATTCCTAACAATATTAACTAATTAGACTAAACTATATGTTTTTAAAATAAAAGAGGAGTCTGCATAATTGATGTAAACTAAAAAGGTCGAGTATTTTACCCTAAATAATTTGATTCATCTTTAATTGAGAAACATGTCACTTTTTTGCCAGAGAGAGAAACATGGCCTATTTTGTTTTAAGATCATTTTTTACGAATGCCAAAAGTGAGTTGGCATATGGCATAATCTTCTTTTTCCCAAGAATTAAATGACATTTTTACTTCTTAGAGTATTTTTTAAGAATATTGATCATTTTAAAGCACACATTGGAATTATATCATCTCTCAAATGCAAAAGCTATTGTTATGTCACTCTGGACTAATGGATATTGACATTAATGGATGGCTTTAGAAACAAAATTTGGCTCTGGCAAGTGGCATATCTATATAGTAAAATCTTCGGGTCAGATAGGGCATTGTTTTTATATTTCCATAACATAACTTTCCACACCATTTGAATTTAAATATTTAAATTTAAAAGTATTAATGAATTTAATTGGTCAAATATAATGTGTATCTCTAGATGTTGGTTAGTTTTATATAAGCCTTTTTGTTTAATAATGAAGCATCTTTTGTTGTCATAAAAAGTAAGTTTTCCAGTTTATGCTAAGTTCCATGTGGTTAGCAATTAGCAATTACCCTTCCGGAAATTTTCAAACTATTGGTGAGCAAACAAGTTGATGTGGGATTGAAAATTATATCAATTTTTTTTTAAAAATAAATTACAATCCAAAGAAAGCAAATTGATTACCGTATAATATTAAGATTACAGTATTTTGTAAGATTTGTAGTAATGTAGATAAATAATAGTACTAAAAAGAAATGCCTTTCAATTAAATGAAGTGTAGATAAATGATAATAAAAATTATAATTGATCGACACAACTCAAAGAAGTGATAATATAACAATTTTATTTCATAAGAAGAAAGTTTTTATTCATTAATACAATACTTGGTCTATATTTTTGCTTACCAATTCAACAGGACAACAAGAAGATGGATTTCAATGGAAGGACTTCATCTTCAAGACAAAGAAAACATAAAGCTTGTCATTCACCTAGTTAACAAACTTGAAATAAGCATGACTACATCTCCAGTTGAAGAAAATGTGACACAAAGTACCCGAAATCCTACAGCAAATCCATCTCCAATGCCGATATAAAGCCCAAACAAGAATTCTTTGGATTCATCTTCTCCTCTATATAGCTCTTTGTTGTCTAATTTTTCACCTTGTGTGCAATTCTTTGTCAAAGGTTCTCCACAGAGTTTAGGATTGCCTGTATGGCTTAGTGGATCAAAACTTTGAAGTTGGGTCCCTGTAGGGATTTTACCAATAAAATTGTTGAATGACAGGTTCAAGTGACTGAGAAAAGATCCGACAGATAAGTTCTCTGGAATTGGACCAGAAATTTGGTTCTTTGAGAGATCCAATGATTCCAAGAGTTTCATGTCTCTAATCTCTTCAGATATCTTGCCCATCAAATGATTTTGAGACAAGTTTAAAGACTGCAAGCCCGTAAGCGCAAAAATTGTGGAGGAAGAACTCCAGACAAGTTATCCCTTGAAAGATCAATCATAAGCACTAGCTTTGGGTTGGTGCTATAGCTGAACTCTTGACCTTTCATAAGAAGCATGAGAGTGTCAGGTGAAACACTAACATATTTTGATTTTCTGGAGAGAATGTCAAACTCATGTTCTGCTGAAGTATTAGTGAAAATCATGGAGCTGATATTATGAAGACACTTAGCGATTGATCCAGACAATCTGTTATTTGCAAGATCTAATATCATAAGAGATGAAAGTTGGCATATTTTTGATGGAATATTGCCTTTAAGTTGATTGGATCTTAGTTACTGTTTTGGTTCATCCAGCTAAGTTCAAATCTTGAAAAGTTATTTTCCGTTACATTAAGCAGTCTCAAGCTACTACAATTTTGCAGAGAAAAAGGTATATCACCAAACAACTGGTTTTTAGGAAAATGTAAGGATTGAAGTTCAGATAAAGAGCCCACATAGTTACGAATGCCACCCTTCAAGTTATTGCTTCCTAGATTTACATAAACCAGAAATTTCCAGTTTGTGAAGCAATTTGGAAGTTCCCTAGAAAAAAGATTGTGAGCCAAGTTCAGATACCTCAATTGGTTGCTCTTATTTATTGGATGACCCAAAAGTGGTGAAACAGACCTTGATAGAGAGTTATTTTCCATCTTGGACATCATAACATTTGGTGATAAACATGGGAGCCTACCCATGAATTTGTTATTTCTTAGGTCAATCACACCAGAATTTAGCAGACACTTGACAAGTCGCTACTAATCAAGTTGTTGGATAGATCAAGAACGGTGGTTCTCCGTGGCAAGGCTCCAAAGCTTGTCCTCAACAATGGAGAACATTCCTAAGCCAGAAATGTTCAGATAATGAACATATTCTAGAGAATATAACCATTTTGGAAAAAACAGATCCCAGTTTGAGTCTATGTCAAAGATAAAACTTGATGAGCTAAAGTTTAGAATCTGAAGTTTTGTGAGTTTGGTGAAGTTCATTTTTTATGCCACCCCGACCAATGACTTGCCTTCAAGAAGCAAATTCTGCAAGTTTGAAATCTTCCCCAGACTTGATGGGAGAAACCCATGCGGGTGATTGTAACTGAGCTGGGTGTTTGGCTATTGCCAAAAACACTTCCTAAAAGCACTTTTCCACAAAATGATGCAAACTCATTTATATATTTGCTTCGTAAACTATAAAAGCACTTTTAAAACCATAGTTTGGTTCCTATCTAAACACCCCCTAAGCTTGACAAATTTTCTATGGTAGCAGGAATAGAACCTTGTAATGAATTCCCATAAAATTCAAGTTCCCACAGATGCTTATATTCACCAAACCAACCTGGAATTGTCCCATTCAATTCATTTCCACCCAACATCCAGTATTTCCGATTTCTAAGACTTCTTAAGGTGTCTGGTATTGGGCCTTTTAATTTGTTGCTTTCAAGGATGATAGCAGAAATTTGGTCACTGAGATTTGACACCAGCTTAGAAACTTCAAAATCAAAATGGTTTTCTGAAAGGTCAAGTGACTGAAGGGAAGAAAAATTGACAAACCATCCAACACTAGGAATTATATCAGCAAGCTGACAACTTCTCAAAACCAACTCTGATAGATAAGGTGGCCAGCTGATACGCTGAATCCAATGGATTTCCTTATGCATATTAATGCCATTAAGATGAAGACTTTTCAAAGATGGAAAATGAGAGATCCATTGAATGTCATTTATATGAAGGTTTACATTATATGACAAGTCAAGATACTGAGGTTGGAGAAATTTCCACATGAATGAGGAGACATAGTTTTTGACAAGTTGTGATACACACTCGAAGCGCATAAATTCATAGCTTGGAAGTAATTTCCACTCAAATCCAGTAACTTCAAAGATTCAAGCAAAAATAAGGGTAAGTTGATTTCACCTCCCAAATTCAAGCAGTCAGAACTTACAACCCAAATCAAGACTAATGACACCACCTATGATGTTGTCACACTGAACACCAACCCACTCACGGCAATCTTTCTGGACAGACCAAGAAAAGAGGGAGAATGTTGGATCAATGACACTTTTCTTGAAGATTAAGAGTGCATGCTTCTCCATTTCACAGCAATGGGGTTTCAGTGAACAAGAGCCTAAGTGGAAGGTGGATGCAAATAGTAACCACAGGAATAGAAAACCAGCATGGGTAGTGGAGGCGGCCATGGCGGTTTTAAGAAGCAAGAAGGTATGAAGTGGGTATATTTATGACAAATTCTTGGCTCAATTGTGGGAACTCATTTAAGATGTAAGATAGGAAACTTTGAAGTGTTCATATTTATGAAGCTATCCTTTTTTGCTTCCCAGGAATTGACCGCAGAGTTGAACAACCCATTAAACAAGGGTCAATGGGAAATGAGTGATTGTTATTTTTGCATGGCGACCTTATAAGCCTTGTGTCGTTTTCATTTCCTTCAACATTAATTGATGCGGCAACATCATCGACGCGCAGAATGACGATGCCCCCATGTGTATGGGCCAGGCAGCCGGGGAACTTAAGGAGGCCCAATGTCTAGCACATCGTAAACTAATTTTGCTGGATCCAAGTTTTCCATTTATTCTAGTCATTGTAAACCTTTTCCATTTAAACAATCTTTTCAAGTGCGTTTAATTGATTTATGATAGGTTCATAACTAACCATATTGCCCGCTCACACCCACGCAGGGGATTTTACAATTGAAGATTTTAAATGTTTTACTTGAGTGTGCTTCTTAAGAAAACAGTTACTTCTCTTATCTTATCTATCATATTCTTACATATGCTTACAGTAAATTTCACACAGATTAAGAAAAATTTTAAAATATATTGATTTTTCGTTAAAATAATAACTTTTTAATTTTATCTATTTAATATATACATCTTTTAAAAAAATAATTATCTACACTATAATAAATGAAATGTAAAATAGTACATTTATGCTAAAAATTTAATAAAACAACTTATAAATAGAAAAAATTCTTTTTTTGACTTATAAATAATACCAGAAAAGTATTTAGAGAAAACAGATGAAAGTATTCTAAAAATTTGAAGGCTGGGAATCATAAATAAAATACTATTTTCATTCCTTAATATAAGAATTGGATAGCTAGTTTGAAAAAAAATTAAAAAACTTAATTAAATTAGTTATTTATAAAAAATATACATTAACTTTCTTAAATTACCCTCTATAATCTTATGTATTGGAACTACACTTTGGTGGGAGTCTTACATTCAATATAGACATTTTGAAAAACATATGAAACAAAGTGAACTAAGATATTATATTTAGAACTAAATCCAATTCTCTAAAAAGTAATAATTAGTAAAGCAATCTATATATGTATAGTAACAACAACCTTATTCTATTAGGTGGGGTTTGCTACATAGATCACATGATACTATTGTATTCATTTAACAACCAAATTTTTAGATATATTATTAACTAAAAATTTTATTTAATAATTTTATTGAGCACTATCTCTGATCTTCCTCTAGCCATTGTCAAAGGCTTCACATAAACACTTTAATTTTCTTTGTACATGTAAAACCAACTCAACAATTTTCTACTGTTTTTACTTTTTTTCTTCAATATGCATCACACTAACTTTTTTTCCGTGTATGTTTATTGCAAATCTCTTTTTATCCCCCCTTATGAACACAGATCTGTCTTAACATTTTTATTTCTACCATCTCTTTATGTTCCTTTTACATATCATTGTAATTTTGTCATATATAGAAAGTGGTGTCGACATCCTGATGGTATATAGCCATTAAGATGCAGAGACGGATATGAACACGGAGGGAATCAAAGGCCATCCATGGACGGAGGATGGGGGGAATGTGTTCATCATGTCCTCATTTTGCTTCTTCTCTCTTCTGACCTCCATTTTTGTTTCTATTTGGTCGAGTCCTCACGTATCCCAACCAAATTACCCTTTCACCCCTCCTCCTAATTCTTTCCTAATGTTTTCCTCTCCCTTCTACAGCATTGTTGGATTGACTTTCACATCTCTATTATTGTTATTATTTTCACATAAAAATGATTTAAATTTTGGATCTCTAATTACATTTTACCCTTTCTAAAAGGGTATTTGGATAGAAACAAAACTATAATTTTAGTGATTTTACAGTATACGAAGTAAAATGTAAAAGAGTTTATCTCGATTTGTGAAAAAATACTTTTAAAAAGCATTTTTAGAGGCATTCAAACACCCTCTAAGTCCCTAATCTTTTTTTTCCCATGACTTCAAGTCCCTAATCATATGAGCTTGCTTCACAGTGCTTGATTATAATTCTTACTTTAAAAATCATAAATCTAACCTTTTTTAAAAAAATATTTTTTATTAACCAAATATATTTGTACTCCTCCGTTCCTTAATATAGGACCTAATTGTTGAGTTAGTTTTGGTCCTAAATATAAGACCCATTTCTCATATTTATCAATTTTCTCTAAATTACCCCTATAGATATTCTTTCAACCATAATCAAGTACAAGAAGGAGGGGAGGTATTAAGAAAGAGGATTATGGTGTTTTAAGAAAAACGTGTCATATTTCTTATAATTAACTAACTTATCTAACTTTCTTAATCTAATTAAATTAGTTAAATAGATCTTATATTAAGGACTGGATGAGTATTATTTATATTGCACAGCTTTATCTGGTTAAATTATATGTAATTATATCATATTTTAGCATAAAGTAATAAGTATTAATGGGAGAAAAGTTACAACGGCGCCGTACACGCCAGTAATGGAAAAAGCAAGAGCACGTGGCCCTTAGAAGTTAGCAAAGATAAAACAATAAGTCAATACTGAAACGTCATCAGGATCAAATCAGAAGAAGTAAGGGTATTTCAGTAAAAGTAATGTGATCCTATCAGGATTCAGGATGAAGGTGAACGACAAATAAAGAAGGTGTTGACACGGTGAGAAGAGCATCGAAGCAAGCAAGCAAAGCTAGGGAGAGAAGCAAAGATCGTTGGCGAAAAAAATAAAACAGAGAGAGAGAGAGAGAGAGAGAGAGAGAGAGAGAGAGAAGATCGATCGATGAGGATGGTGAGCAATTTATTATATATGATGAGCAGTGTAATTCTGAGAAAGTGTGTGCAAGTTTACAATGAATGTTCGTATCTCTTCACCGATCTGGCTTTCGTTTTGGTATCTTCATTGAGATTTTCTGGTCTGATTTTCCGGCAAAGTTCGTCGGTGGTTTCTGTCCAAAGGTACTATCCCTTGTCACCATTAACGATCATTAGGCATGATCGCTAGCTAATCACACACTTGAGCTGCATAATTAATTATTATTCTTCCATCCTTCTATTATCCCAACAATAACCTTCTCAGACTTATCAATATATAACACTACTGTTTCATGCTTGATCTGTTTTGATTTGAGGTCTTTATATTCTCATGGAGTTGGGATATCTATGATCTATATCAGCATCTTATCGGTTGAACCGTTTTGTTCTTTTGCCATGGCATTACAATCCAAGGGAAACAGATTCTCTGAAGTTTTTTTTTTTTCTTTTGGAAAGTAGTGTGAAGTGCTGAATTGGAACCAATTGCTAAATTTGCATTAGTTATTAAGTTTAGAAAAAATTATAAATTTAAGAGATAAAGTGAGTTGAAATATCACATCTAGAACTATTATCTCTTATTTTTAATATAAGAGTTAGTTTGATATTCAATTTAGTTTTAAGTATAAGACCCCAATACATTTTGTCTCTTATATTTATTTATTTTTTTAAAGTAGTTCTTGTAATAGTTGCGTTAAAGGTTTCATCAAATAATAGTTTTAACTATTATATATTATTAATAAGGGTATTTTAAAAATAATAATATCTATTTATTATAAATAATTAACTTAACTAATTTTTTTAATCTTTTCAAATTAGTTAACCAGGACTTATATTAATACTGGAGATAATATTACAAACCATATGATGCTATTGACGTTCTAGTTACGGGTGAATTTTTATGCCACTATTTCACAATGACATTAGCAAACTCCTCTTAAAATTAATAATTGCCAGAATTCTAATCAGGTTTGATTCCAAGCTCTTGCAAATAATAACTTCATTTTTATTTATATCAATTAATAATATAAAACTATTAGCATTATTAATCAACCAACATGAAATATTAATACTACAAATGAAATTTATAACAAGTCACTCTTACGGGTTATCAATAATATGACTTGTTTGTGGTACGTGTACTGTAAGTTTTCGCAAGGTTTACATTAATATAAAATAGTAAAACTAATAAATCCAAAAATGACCAACTACTTCTTTTTTTTTTTTGGTTATGTACAAATATATGTATTGAAGGTAATCTTATTTAGGAGATGTTTGGATAGAAATTAAACCATAATTTTAAAAATACTTTTACTATATAAGAAATAAATATATAGAAGAATTCGTCTCGTTTTACAAAAAAAATTTTCTTGGAAAGTACTTTCACACAACCCCAAACACCTTCTAAAATAGGTTCAAACGCCAAATGTAAAACATTGCTTCACCACATAACAATGAAATGGCCCATTCGCCAAACTCAACGGGTTTTATTACATATTTACTCGTAATATTTTTGCCCTTTTATGGGTAAGAGCCTAAGCCCAAAATATAAAACTCTTGGACTTAGCCCATAAACTAGTCACACAAAAAACAAAAAACGAGGTGAGGTTGGCATTTATAGTATGAGGAAAAAGATAAAGAGAAGGCTATAACCCCAAAAACAAAAAAAAAACCACGGGAAGGGATCCGCGGAACGAAGATGACCCTCGTCCCTAGGATGCGAAGCTTGTCTTCATGGGCTACTGGCGGCAAGGAAATTGATTGTGACAAGGAAGAATAAAAATTCATTGTATAGCATAACATTTTTATATCAACAGAATTAGATCTAGTAAAAGAGATTAGTTTCTCACAACATAATAAATTAAGGTTCGAATTCTTGTTGGGAGAGGCATCATCATTTAGTATACTGATAGTGTCTTAAATGGGATTACTTTAAATAGGATGATATCTATGTTTTAAGGGAAAAAAAATTCATTGTATGGCACAATATTTTTTTAACGGAAAATTTTATGTACGTTTACTGTAATGCGTCAACTGATTTTGACCCGCCGCCGGGGGGGGACAAAGTGTCAACCATAGGTAGAACAACCCATCAAATCAACGGTTAAAGAA